AGCATTGGAGTCACATCTGTAATGTGAGTTTTCTCCAGAATGGTACAGTAGAAATGCCTGATTCTTTGTGTGGTAACAGTGCGGGTCATGTAGAATCTAGGAATGATGTCCTTATGCTGCAAATATTAAGAAAAGTGTTTTTATTAAACTTGAAAGTTCATAAATAATATAGCATTGGCGTTAAGGTATTTTATTTTGAAAATCGCGAGCTTTGGCCCGTTTCAATACCTTTACTGTAAATGTAAGTATATAGAGTATATAGGCGCACTTCAAAATCTAGCGCGCCTGGCTTGACCACGGAAAATTGAACGGCGGCTGATTTGACCGCAGTGTTGTTGCCTTCTCACCAAGATGTTTGCCTATTGTCCTGTTGCCCATCCCTGTCAGGTTTGCTCGGCCGCTCTGGCCTCCCTCACCTTTCCTACTGTCTCTTGCCCCATTACTCTTATCACGTTCACCTGTTCCTCACTCCCTTATCACCAGCTGCACTTGATTAGGTTGCTCACTATATTACCTGGTTTCACTCCTCAGTCACTTGCCAGTTCGTTCTAGTCTCTAGGCCATTTTTTCTCCGTGCGTTGTCATTGGTTTTTGTATGTATTTATCCCCCTAGGCAGCTACTGTTTTGTGTTTTGTAGCACTTAATATAATTTAATGGTAATAGTTTATATTGTGATTGTGTAACTCGCAGTTTGTGCTCTCCAAGCTGAGAGAAGGGATGCATGTAGCAGATTATCACCCCATGTGCTGTGACTCATTTTATTTTCTTTGCAATTACCCAGGGGATAATTAAAGTCAACCGGTGAGACAACAGTGGTCAGTGCCATTATTTCAACACAGAACACAACGCAGAGTACACTAACCCCGCCCACGGCCAAGGAGTGTTGCACCCGGTAGAGCCCGTTACATACCGAAGTCGGCTACCTTGGTCCGCCTCTTTCTCCTTCGCTCAATGACAGGTTCGAACGGCACATAACAATCCCAGTCTTGTGCAAGTCTACAATTTTGTCCCTAGTGTCCTTAGACAGCTCTTTGGTCTTGCCCGTAGTGGAGAAGTTGGAGTCTGATAGATTGAGTGTGTGGACAGGGGTCTTTTTATACAGGTAACGAGTTCAAACTGGTGTAATTAATACAGGCAATGAGTGGAGGATAGGAGGGCTTCTTAAAGACAAACTAACAGAGAGCCAGAATTCTTGCTGGTTGGTAGGTGATCAAATACGTATCTCATGCAATAAAATGGAAATTTAAAAATCTAACAATGTGATTTTTGGAATTTTTTTTTAGATTGTCTCTCACAGCTGAGGTGTACCTATGATAAAAATTACAGAACTGTCCATTCTCTGTAAGTGGGAAAACTTGAAAAATTGGCCGTGTATCAAATACTTATTTGGCCCACTGTATTTTGTTATAGACTATGACTAATTCGAAGTGTCTGTGACTATAAAAAACAAGTTTGACTCCGCCCCCACAGAGGTGTTGTCAACTGAGTGAGCTCCAGGGGTCATTTCAACAAGGTGATACAGGTGAGTAATCTTTGCTGTGAGCTCTGTTTAATCAAACTATGAAGCGTCAGGACTGAGCTTTATTTAAGAAAAACTCATGTTATTAATGATTAATTAAGTGTTTAAACTACCAATTTAAAAACTATTGAATAAATCACATTAAAGGCCTTTTCACACCGAATGCGACGCGAATATTTTCTTAAAACGTTGCGCTACAAAGATGGACTCCACATCAAGCGACGACGATGTACTGCTTGTCCTGCTACATAAAAAAGAAAACAAAGGTTTTGGGTCCATCCTATATTGAAAAGGAGAGAACATGGCGAGTTTCATCGGTTGGTACAGGAACTGAAGTTGTATCATGGTCGCTTTAGGACCTATTTCAGGATGTCTGTG